TGATGTTTATCAGTTTGATACAGAGGAATTAACGATGTTGACATGCCCAATAACCACTTCACCCACTCAGTCTTTTCTCTTTGCCATTATGTAACCACTACTTCTTTATCAAATTGCTCTTCTTAAAGTACCACTCTCCATTCCTCTTTAAAATTTTCTCTGATTTTTTTTTCTTCTATTGTTTATTTTCATCACTTGAATTACAAGCTGTTAGGTGACGGAATATACAAATAGGTGACATGGATTGCACAACTGGGAGACGAATTTATTGTTAGTAAAAAGCCTTTTCTTTTTATTGTTAGTCCTTTTTTAAATACTATAAACGCATACACATATGTATGCATATAATGTAATGGGGGGAATGAATTTATTTAACGTGAAAAGATCAACTGGTTCCATTTGAAAGATATTAGTTTGTGAGACTGTAATTCCCTTCGAAATATCATCTGGATTTGCAAATGGATCTTTTGATCTTTTTCAAGCATCATGCATTTATAGTGGTGTGCTACCGGCAATAAGAAATAATTAGATCTAAAATGCATATGGAGAAGTTGAACCAAGTTTAAAGTGGGACTACACTTGAGGCTATACATACAGAATATATGATTATTTATTTTTTGGTTTCAAATTAATTCATGAACTATATGTGTTAAGTTAATCTCTCCTTATTTCATATTGTAATTACAAAGTAAAAGGACAAGGGAATTCAAAATGGTTGTAATTGCTTATATGTGTATACTGAAAGTTTCGTATACATGGTGACACGGAGTTTAATCTTGAATATGAAGAATCGTTAATGGATTGAATGGATCATAATTGCAATGTGGTGAATTTTTACTAGTATGAAAGCGCTACATTAGTTTGTCTTAACTTTTATTTTTCATTGGTCAAAAGTGTATTAACTTGAATGTGGTTTTTTATTTTTTTATTTTTTTTTAAAATTTGGAGTGCCGTAGGCATGGGTCATCTGCTAGTTTAATAATAATTTAGGGATAGAAAATATAATATATCCTAAATTTTATAACTTTTTTTAGCCAAAAATACCAAGTTATAGCTTCCCACCAAAAATCCGTTAGAAAAAAAAAAAAAATGCATGATATGCAATGGCCAAACATCTTAATCACCACGCAATATTTTTAGCATTTTTATCTTTTTAAACTTTTTAATTTTTTAAAAAAATTTTTATCTTGTTTTTTTGATGGAGTGTGGTATCAAATGGTTTGTTTAATTTGTATCTCAAGATACAAGTTTTGAGAAAAAAATTCAAAATTTTGTTTTATTCAATTAAAATTTTTTTTTTCCAAAATCTCTTTCTCTCTCTCTTACATATTAATTAATCAATCACTTTTTCTCTCTCCTCTCTCTTTCTCAATCACTTTTTCTCTCACACACATCTACTCAATTATAACAAAATATCAAATCATACAAAACGTACAAACTATTTTCAAAATATACAACCAAACAAATCAAAAAAAATTCCAAATGCTCTCAATAATTTTTTAAAAAAAATTTATTTCAAAACACAAACTAAACGCACCCGGAGTGTTTGGTAGTAAAAGTCAACAAAATGCCAAATTAATGTATAAATTAAGAGCATCTCCAACGGTGAACTTCTTTTTTCACCAAATCTGAGTAAAAAATGACTCATTTCATCAAATCTGATATCACTAGCTCCAATGGTGCGTCAAATCCCGTGGGGCAATCGGTTGGTCGACTGGTAAGTGTAATTTTTTTTTTTATACCCTTTTGAACTGTTTGAACCCACCTTTGTGAACCGGGAAAAGGGGCGACCGGTCAGCCAATTTTATTTATTTTTTTTGTAACGGCTAGTTATGAAATATGTATGTCAAATATATAGGGAATTTAAATTTATATCACCTTCAAATTATTCATAATCCACAAATTAGCCTATGTCCAAATAAACCAACTCAAACAAGTTGAAACCAACCAGTTCAAACCTGTTCTTGCTAGTTGTGCACTGTAGTCGAATTGCCCAAACCGGTCGATCGGTTGGTCAACCGGGTGGTTGACCGGTTGCTCTCCAACGGTCACGTGAGGCAGCAGTTCAAACCAACCAGTTCAAACCAACCAGCTGAGGATTCAAACGAACCAGTGGCTTAAATGGTGCACCGGTCGACCGGTTGGTCAACCGGCTGGGCAACCGGCTGGTTGACCGGTTCCTCCCTCCAACGGTCACGCATAGTGTTTTGGCAAAATCTGTATGTTGTCCTCAGTTTGATGAATTGTTTGGTGAAATCTCAATTTGATATCGATTTGGTGCAATCGTTGGAGCACCAAACAGTAACTTTTTTATCAAAATTTAAATTTGATGTCAACTTTGGTGAACCGTTGGAGATGGTCTAAGTAGGTTATAAAAATTATTTATATAATATTCGTATTATTTATTTTAATAAGAATATTAAATTTTTTACTAAATAAATAATCAAATATCTCATATAGATGTGGAATTCGTAATTTTATAGACCCTACACCTATATTAATCATTTATTTAATAAAAAATTTGAGACTAATATCATTTTTCAAATCAACAATATTTCAAACTTTGCGTGCGCGAAATGTCACCTTCTCAGTAAAAAAGAAATATAAAAAAATTATAACACTCAAGTCACGCATTAAAGACAACAACTCATCTGGTACCCATTTAATATTTATTACTCATAAATGAATTTCTGCTATAACTATTCTCAATTGTGAGCTGTACAAACTCCACAATTAAACTGACAACACCAATATGGACCATATAGACATGTGTATTCAAATATAAAAATTAGGGTAAATTACACTGACTCTTCTGAGGTTTAGTTTAATTATATTTCATCTCTTGATATTTTAGAAATTATGTTTATATTTCTGTGGTTAATAGTTTCATTTCACAAATTTCTATTTGTACAAAGGCAATAACTTTTAGTAAAAAAAAGAGAAAATTTCATTGAAAAAAAAGTAAAGCAAAGGAAAAGGAGAAAAAAAAAAACAAAGGAAGTAAAGTAAAGCATGAAAAGAGGGAGTGTATGAGTTCAATGTCTTCATTCTATCTAAATAATTATAATGACGGGGGGTTAGTGTAATTTTTCAAACGTCAGGGGGTGATATGTATTAAATCCAAACCTCATGGGGTGTAAGTGTAATTTACCCTAAAAATTATTATACAGATTTATTTATTTATTAATTAATGTGTTATATAATAATAAAAATTTAAATAAATTACACCGATCACCCTTGAATAGGGCTATAAACGAGCTGAGTTAAACCAAACCAAACTTTTAAGTATTCAGACTTATTTATTAAAAATTAGTCGAGCTCAAGCTCAAATTCGGCTTGTCAAATATTTGATAAACTTGAACTCGGCTTAAACTCGAGCTTGAAAAAAACTAAACTTAAATTAATTTACTTATTAAGATTAAAAAAAAAAGTTTATGAGTAAAATGCTTATATTAATAATAAATTTCATCAATCAAATATGTAAATTTATACAAATAAAATAAATTATTATATTTTTTGATATATTATTAATAATAAATACTAATTTATTTTCTTTATGTTCACGAGTCTTATCAAGCTGAGCTTAGGACTACTCGAGCTCGGCTCAATTAATAAACGAGCCTAAAAATTGAACTTACGCTCTAATAATAAACAAGCCGACCTTGAGCTATTTATAAACAACTTGATTCATTTACAGCTTTACACTTGTTGTTTGAAAAAATATAATAAATTTCATGATTTTGACATAATTACATTAAATTGCCTTACAATAAAGGTAAAGTTAATGGAAGAATAAACTTATATAATAAATTTACATTTTTACCCTTCTATAAAATACGTTCTATTTTATAATAAATTTACCCTTACAACCTTATTTCTCACTTAACCGAACCCCAATTTCCAATTTATTTTCATTTTCTCTTCTTCTTATTAGCATAGACAATAAAAATGAACCATTACCTCAAAATCTCATGAAGTTGCCTTTATCACAACCATTATGATTGGACGTCATCGCTTTACCACCACCATTACAATCAAACACAAACCACCTCCGCTACCATCATAACAATTAAACGCAACAGTCTACATTAGCATTATCACAATTGGATACAACCACCTCTACTACCACCACCTTCACATCGCGATCAACTTGGGAAGCATAAGGACAATTGTGATGGGAGGAATTGGAAAATAAAATGAGGCAAGAAGTTACATTAAAGGGAAGAAGAAAATTGAAGAGAGTTGTGCTAAGGGAAAGATAGAGATAAGGGGTCAATTATGCTAAATGAATAAAGGAGGTAGATGTTGGTTACAGATGGCAAGGACAGAAAGAATGGAGCGATGAATAGACGATGACGACGAGAATAAAAAAGGAGTAAGATATAGAAAGTGCAATGGGAAAAAGAGAATGAAATGAAATTTGTGTTGTTGTTGGTTGCCGACAAGAAAAAGAATGAAAGATGACGTCTATTGTCATTTGTTGATGATGATAGAAAAAGAAAAAAAAATGGGTGACGATGTCCATTGACGACTCTTCTTCTCTATTGTGGTTTGGTGACACTAAGAGAATAACAATTTTTTTACTAGATATTTAAGACGTAGGAAAGATTTTCTATATTTCTTATTTGAATTATGTGTTTTGTGTTCAATTTTATTAATGGCAAATAGCCATAGAGAAAATAGCATGAGAAGAAAAAGACAGACATATAAATTAGCTCATTATATTGACATAATTAATAAAATTGACGTTTGAATTTAAAATTTGATGATATGGTATATTCTTGTTTTTTAATTTATAACGAAATGGGAAAAAAATGTTATGCATTTACAATTTTGATAGAGTACAATATAATTATATTGAAATAATAAAATTTAAATATTTATTTAAATATTTATATAGATTATGCTTGTGTATCATAGAGTACAATATAATTATATTAAAATAATAAAATTTAAATATTTATATAGATTATGCTCGTGTATCCATGGATATTAACCAATATGAGATACATAGATTGGGACACCGAAGCCTTTGACTCTTGTTTTTATATATACCAAATCCGGCCAACGCACGTAAATTCAGGGGAAACGGCTTCTCGGATTGTGCTCCACCTCAGCCCCTCTCCTACTGTGCGTGTCACCTTGTTGGAGCCCAATCACATTCACAACCCAATTATTGATTGATGCTCTCTCTCTCTCTCTCTGTCCCTCTCTCTCTACATGGGTTTTCTGCTCAGAATCTGATCTGGGTTTTTCCCGACTCGATCAGTTCACTTCTCTCTCTGCTCGATTCTCTTGCTGATTGATGGAGTGCGATTGATTTTGACTAGGTTTATCTTGGCGATTTTGTTTGTTTGAAGTTTCTGAGCACACTACCAGGTTCAGATTTTCTTCTGGGTAATCTTCGTTTTCGTGGAATTTGATATAAAATGCAAGAATCGTGTGGAAAAGACTGAGATAATGTTCAATGTGCTTCTGAATTTGGTTCTCCGTTTTTATTTTGTTAGCAATGGAGTTGAAATCTTGTGTTTGCCCCAATGTTCCTAGTTGTGATTTTTAAAATTTTCGTATAACCATTTAGGTGAATTCAATCCTATTGCTGTGTTATTGCATTATTTTGGATGTATTGTTAATGCATGTTTCTACTTGTAAACAACTATATTTAAAGCACTAAATTTTCCTGTTTATTTGTTCTGTTGAGGTGGTTTGACTGAAATTATCATTTCTGTATGTATGGATGGTGTTCAATGTTACCAATATATTTGTTGGTTCAACCTTGTTTGTCTTAAGACCCACCAAGCAAATCTCAAAAAATTCTTATTGCCGTTAGGCCCCGATTTTCAAAGGCTCAATAAGATAAGGCCTCATTTAAATATGTGGCCGGGTATTTTTTATTTTTATTTTTTGTTTTTAACTCTATATACCTTGTTTTTCCCTGGAACCAACAAATTTAATGGTGGCATTACCATTTCACTTTTGGTATATATCAGATTTTGATTCCTGTTGAAACGTGGCATTTATGGAGTTGAAATCTTGTGTTTGCCCCAATGTTCCTAGTTGTGATTTTTAAAATTTTCGTATAACCATTTAGGTGAATTCAATCCTATTGCTGTGTTATTGCATTATATTGGATGTATTGTTAATGCATGTTTCTACTTGTAAACAACTATATTTAAAGCACTAAATTTTCCTGTTTATTTGTTCTGTTGAGGTGGTTTGACTGAAATTTTCATCTCTGTATGTATGGATGGTGTTCAATGTTACCAATATATTTGTTGGTTCAACCTTGTTTGTCTTAAGACCCACCAAGCAAATCTCAAAAAATTCTTATTGCCGTTAGGCCCCGATTTTCAAAGGCTCAATAAGATAAGGCCTCATTTAAATATGTGGCCGGGTATTTTTTATTTTTATTTTTTGTTTTTAACTCTATATACCTTGTTTTTCCCTGGAACCAACAAATTTAATGGTGGCATTACCATTTCACTTTTGGTATATATCAGATTTTGATTCCTGTTGAAACGTGGCATTTATGGTTTCCGTTTTGATACATATCGGATTTTGATTCCTAGGACAGCTATTAGTTTGCTTGAATATGGTCAGATGATTAGAATGCTCACTCATTTTTATGGATTAGTGTTGTAGATTAAATATCCTGTACTAGATTTCAGAATCTTTTTATTACCAATCTGAAAATTTAGATACTCTCTTGTCAAGTTGGTGATTGTTTTATGGAAAATAAAAAGAAGAAGATTTTCCTATGTTCATTGTTTCGATATTATTTATGTTCCAGAAAAATATATGTTATATAATTACACAGGTTTTATTTTACTTGATTTAGGGTTTAGGGTTACTGTTGTTGGGAATTTGTATCGATTCTTTTGTATGCATATGAAGCACCAGGAATTTTGTTATGTGTTTTACATTTGGAGCACTGTCAGTGTGTTTAGAATTTTTGTAAATGGAAAACTTAAATTTTATGGAAGCTATGGATTAAAATCTCTCAGACCTTTTTTGGAAAGAGCATTGGGTGCTGTGTATGTGCCTATTTTACATGGACTAGGGTAAATGTCTTGCTGCGAGATGTCTTAGGATTGGGACAAGGTTCGTTGAAATCTCATGCAACTTGGATATGTTGTCTGGTAAGTGTTGTATTTTTTGTCTTACACACCCAAATTTTAATGATGTCTGTGCATAGTATATATAAAAAAAAAGAAGCACATCATTCATTTTAAAATATTTCATCCAACAGAAAAAAATGCATACAATGGCAATTGGCAGAGACATATGTGATATTTATCCATGTCTTGTTGTGTCTATGTGCATGTTTCTGCCGTTATAGAATGCACACATAACATAACTTTGTGTCACTTGCATAAAATATTGTTGGTGAGGCTGTTTCCTCTTGGATGAGGCATGTACTTTGCACCCTACAGATTATCACAGTAATGGGGGAAAGGCATTTGTACTCAGCTGGTCTTACAATGGTAGATCTTAGTGGTGGAAATGAACTGAGAGTGAGCTTCAGGTTTTGTTTGGACTTGGCTCAGTAAAGTCGTGTGACTGGGCAAGGTTGCCTAGTGTCAAAGGTCTCTCCACTGCGACCCATGATGGCTCACACACGCACCTTAGTGCACTTAACATGTTCCCAAGACTACTGGTACCAACATAGGATGGATGCCCAACAAACCTTGCAGCCATGTGCCCCCACTTGTGCAACTGCCCACCGACGCCACCATCGAGCATATGAAAGAATGTAGAGACATTTTGCCACACAAACTTGGGTTAAAAAATTAGGGTAAATATAGACCTTTGGAGTAGTATTTGAGATGTGATGTGATTTTTTTTTCTTCTATTTATTAAAATCCATTATGACTTCTTAAGCAAGGGTGATGCTTCCTATTGTTACTTTGTAAATGGGTTAGAAAAGGGTCAGCCGTGTAACTACTTCTTCCCATTAACTTGCTAATCTTTTGCCTATGCTTATGTGTTGTCGCAGGGTATGCTAGTGCAATGCTATATTCTTGTAAATAATCCTTTTACTTAATGAAATGTTATATTTTTCTTCCAATCGTGTCTCAATAAGATAACCATCGAGGACAAGTACCTAAGTCCCCTCATTGTCAACTCATTTGATCAATTGAGTAAGGCAATGTATTCTCAATGCTTGATTTAAGGTCGGGCTACTATATTACTGAGTGTGGAAGAAGCCGAGGGCTGAGCTAAGACAAAGTGCGTCACTTGGTATGGATCTTTTGAGTTTTGGGGCATGCCATTTGGTTTTACCAATGTATGGTAACATTTGCACTCTCATGAATGAGGTGTGTTTGTGGTGGTTTATCTTGATGATATGGTGGTATATAGTTCTATACTAGAGGAGTATGTGAAGTACTTGAAGCTAGTATATTCTTTGCACCACTTCAGCACCTTAGACAAGGATTCCTTGGTGCAAAACAAAATGAACGTTATCGAACAGGGAAAACTCTCTGGCTTTGGGTGTAAGATGTGTTGCTTCTAACAATGGGTAATATAGGATCTTTGTGCCTAAGGCCTGTGGCTTGATGACACTCTTGTCTGTCATGACATGAAATGCGCATGATATCCGTGGTACTATAGGACCTTTGCTTTGTTGGAGTGAGGATACTATTGGTCCCATATGTGATGATTTTGAAGAGTACATGCACACTTGTCTCACTTGCTAACAAGACCAGCCCAAGAATCACAAGCAAGGTGGTTCAAGCCCTTGCCAAAACTATAAGAGCTTATTAGGGATGCCAAAGAATATTGTTAATGATCAAGAGACACATTTTACTGGTGCCTTTTGGACTAAGCTCTTTCAGCTTCTCGAGTTGTCATTGAGTTATCACCCATATATAGATGGCCATATTGTGTATCTAAATTGCATCCTATAGGAGTACTTGTGTTACTCTATCAATGCTATTCACTAAAATTGGGTGCAAGTCTTGATGTGGTTTACTTATGTTTGAACGCCCAAAAGAGTAGCTTGGTGGGCATGAGTGCTTTTAAGGTAGTCATTGGACACCAACCAATTTTGCCCCCACATAGTGAGGGAACCTTACATGGAGGTCACCAAGAGCCTTCCAATGTGCTTGAGATTGGCAAAAGGACATCAACCTTGTTCACACCTACTTAAATAAAATTACAAGCAAGATGAAGTGGGTGGATGCCTTGGAGTTTAGGCCAGGAAACCAAGTGCTTGTCAAACTCCTACCTACATTTATGCAATGACTAAACAAGATACTCGTTTGCAGTATGAGCGACGGATCACCGTTGTGAAGAAGATTGGAAAGTGTGCTTACAAGATTGACCCATTGTGCTGGATGAAGACTCACCTAGTCTTTCGGGTGAGCTATCTCAAGCCTTATTACTCTTAAGATGGAAGACCCCTTTTGCAATGTGCCTACATTGGAGACCGTCACAACCAAGGAAAAGAATAGTATAAAAGACATCTTAGTTGATCTATTGACCAACTCTTCAAGGAAGACATTCTGGGAATTTCTTATAAAGTGGAAGGGTCTTGGTGATGATGAAATAAGTTGAATAAAGTTAGACTTTACGGATCTTGCAGAGGGGAGCGAAGCCCAATTAGCTCAAAACACATCAGGAACGTAACCATTCCAGTGAGAGAGCCCACGATGAGTCACACATGCGACTTAGTTCACTTATCATATTCCCAAGATGTGCTAGCACCAAGGTAGGATTTAGATAATCAATTCACGAAGCAGGTGCAACCGTGCAAAGGTGAAAGCAAGAGCGAGAACACGATAGCATCCTTTGTGAAAATACCTTGAGAGAGGGACCACTGCTAGAGCATGTATATTTGTATTCTAAGATATACATAGATATATATTGTTAAAAATTGATGTATTATTAATTGATGTGTATTGTATATTACAAATGGTGAGGGGCTCCTTATATAGGAGATGTAGTGGAGTAGGTGGTAGTAGGTGGTAGTGGTAGGTGTGTAGTAGGTGGTAGTAGGTGGTGGTAGGTGTAGTAGGTGATGGTAGATTTTAACATATATTTACATAAATACATTTATATAAATTATTTTTATATTGATTGTTTGTAAAAAAAAAATACTTATCCTTGGTGTTTGCAAAGAAAATGCTGTTAATATAATGAAGAATGCATTTTTACCAAATATTTACATTAGCGTTATAGTGGTGTGACGATTAAAGTGTAGGATAACCATATATATGGTCACGTGTTCATGCTTCCAACAACCAATTTTTAAAAGGAAAGATGTTTTGGCAAAAAAATGTGTGACAAACCTACGGTACATGTATGAATCACTAATTATTGGTCGACATTGAGTCTGTCCGTGATTTGCGAATTTAACTAGTATAATTTGTTAATTTAACCCGAATTGTCTATCA